ACCACATCTTCTTTATCCATTCATCTGTTGATGGACATCTCAGCTCTTTCCACAGTTTGGTTATTGTGGACATTGCTGCTATGAATATTGGGGTGCAGGTGCCCCTTTGGATCACTACATTTGTATCTTTGGCATAAATACCTAGTAGTGCAATTGCTGGGTCATAGGGTGGCTCTATTTTTAACTTCTTGAGGAACCTCCATACTGTTTTCCAGAGTGGCTGCACCAGCTTGCATTCCCACCAATGGTGTAAGAAGGTTCCCCTTTTCCTCATCCTCACCAACATTTGTTGTTTCCTGTCTTGTTAATTTTAGCCATTCTGACTGGTGTAAGGTGGTATCTCATTGTGGTTTTGATTTGTATTTCCCCAATGCCAAGTGATGTGGAGCATTTTTTCATGTGTCTGCTGGCCATTTGTATGTCTTCTTGATGGAGAAATGTCTGTTCAATACATACTTCATTATTAAGACTTCCTTTAGCTTGATTAATGGAACTTCACTGATCCATTCATTTAGCTTACAAATATTTATTGAATGAATATTTGTGCAACATATAAATAATAGGGACATTGCCCCTACTCCACACCCCAATTTAAAGCTCATTTTGAAAAGGCTTAAATTTCTTACCAATTTAATTTATGGGTTACAAAATATAAGCAAAAATTGACAATTATTTGCTTACTTCAGTCAATACAGACGGCAAACTGGATAATTCAGGACCGATCCAGTTAACCCCCAATTGGCAGAGGTACAAACATTTTTTTTTTTTTAAAGATTTATTTATTTATTTGACAGAGAGAGACACAGAGAGAGAGGGAACATAAGCAGGGGGAGTGGGAGAGGGAGAAGCAGGCTTTCCGCTGAGCACAGAGCCCAATGTGAGGCTCGATCCCCGGCCCCTTGGGATCATGACCTGAGCTGAAGGCAGACGCTTAATGACTGAGCCACCCATGTGCCCCTGAAGTCTTGTATTTTAAATTGATTTATCTTTGGACCAGCTCTCCATTACCAGCCCCTCATGGAACTGCAATTAAAATGGAAGCTGGATATTTCAGATGTTCCTCATTTAAAATTCCAAAATACTGAATAGACGTTTTTCCAAAGAAGACATGCAGATGGCCAATAGACACATGAAAAGATGCTCAACATCTCATCATCAGTGAAATTCAAGTCAAAACCACAATAAGATATCATCTCACACCAGTCAGAATAGGTGGTCTCAAAAGGACAAGAAATAACAATTGTTGGCGAGGATGTGGAGAAAAGGGATCCTTCCTGCACTGTTAGTGGGAATGTAAATTGGTATGGCCACTGTGGAAAACAGTATGTAGGTTCCCCAAAAAAATTGAAAATAGAAATACCATGTGATCTAGTAATTCCCCTTCTGGGTATTTACCCAAAGAACATGAAAACACTAATTCAAAAGGATACATGCATACCTATGTTTATTGTAGCATTGTTTGTAATAGACAAGATAAGGAAATAACCTAAGTGACCATCAATAGGTAAATGGATAAAGAAGATGTGTTATATATATACACAATGGAATATTACTCAGCCATAAAAAGAACAAAATCTTGCCATTTGTGACAACAATGAGACACCTAGAAGGTATTATGCTAAGTGAAATATGTCAGACAGAAAGACAAACACCATTACTTATATGTGGAATCTAGAAAACAAAACAAACACATGAATAACAATAACAGAAAGAGAGACTCATAAATATAAAGAATAAACTAGTGGTTACCAGAGGGGAAGCGGGCAGGGGATAGACAAAATAGGTGAAGAGGATTAAGAGGTATACACTTCCAGTTATAAAATAAGTTGCAGGGATGAAAAAGTAGAACATAGGGAATATAATCAATAATATTGTAATAACTTTGTGTGGTGATAGATGGTTACTATACTTATCATGGTGAGCATATCATAATGTAGATAATTGTCAAATCACTATGTTGTGCACCTGCAACTAATAGTATATGTAAACTATACTTCAATTAATTTTTTTTTAATTTTAAAAATCCTCAAATAAACTTCTTTCCCTTTAATACCTATTCAACCCTTAAATGTGAACTTGATCTACACTGGATCATCTCCTCTGGGAGTCTGGATTATCTTATATATAAGATCTATATAACTATATGCATCTATATAACTCCATACCTTGTTTAGAACAGTGTTTTCTACCTCACAAAACTCCTAATAAATATGAATAAATAAAACATGTTTAAGGGAAGCCAGGAAGCCTAGGATTCCTCTCTCATTTTGATTTTTCTTTTCTTTTCTTTTTTGTTTTTTAGAGAGGGAGAGAGAGTAGGGGGGAAGGAGAGGGAGAGAGAGAGAATCTTAAGCAGGCTCCATGCTGAGTATGGAACCCAGTGAGGGTCTTGATATCACAACCCTGAGATCATGACCTGAGCTGAAATCAAGAGTCAGACATTTAACTGACTGAGCCACCCAGGTACCCCAGATTTTTCTTTTCAATTCATATGACAAATGATATTATTTTTAGTATGGGCTATTAATTTCCACTGTTAACAACTAGATATGCTGTCTGGTTGCTTCTAAAGAGTCTGAGTATGAGAGCACCTCTCCTCTCTGGGAAGATTACAGATACATTTGGGTTGAGGACTGGGAGCTTGAGATATAACTCCATGAACTTTAGGGGTGTTTTTATAATATTTCTAGAACATGAATCGAAAAGAATACTTTTTTCTGATACTGTCAAGACTAGTCCAAAACTTTTCTTCCCTTGATTTAGGGGGGAAAAAAAGGAAGTGAGAATACTAGGGGAAAAAAATGATCCATTCTTCAGAGGCTCAGAGAGAAAGTTCTAAATCACTAAATGTCATTTTTTCAAAAGACTGATTTCATTTTATCCAAGCTATGGAATCATTTTTATTAGGAATAAAATGTCAGTGGTAATTTGAAAGGACTGGTACAATTTAACAATTAATAGTAGAATCAGGGGTGCCTGGGTGGCTCAGTCGTTAAGCGTCTGCCTTTTTAAAAAAAAAAAAAAAAAGAATCAATGGTTGAACTGGTTGCCTTTCAAAAGTGTATACACACATGCACATACACATTTATGCTTGTATGTATGCATAAATTTTAAAATTAAATATGGAGATATATATCTATATACATGATATGCATGACTATATACATATATGTGTGTGTGTTCTATATATACATGGAGAGAGAGTTGTAGCAATTTAAATCATGTTTTCATTATTCTCATCTACTTTGCAATGTAAGGAAGTTTGATAAAAATTCTAGTAGACTGCTTGGCCAAGAACTTGTTTATTTTTCATGCATATTTATTAAACTAACACATTTAAGGAAATATCTTCAGGCTCTTCAGCGTATTCAATTTTTCTTTTTAATTATAGAGTAAAAATGCTTACAAACATTTTGCAATGTCAATTGAGAGTCTCCATGTAAGTCTCACTCTCTCACATTAATATGTAAAATGTATTGCTGCTTCCTCTTCTGCATATCTGTCAACATCAACGTCTTCATGGATATTGAAAAGGGTATGATTGAGGGAAGAGTTTCCACTACACTAAATTTTTTTGGATTATTTTTACTGACTGAGACTTATTATTGAACTTGGTTGCTAACTAATGTGACACTGCTTACATCTGTAAGCTACACAAAAAAGGTTTTCAAAGAATGTCCCCCAGGAATAAAACGGGTAGGTATGAAGGTAGGTATAAAACTTGAAGGTACTTTTCTGGATTTGATTCCTGGGTCATCCTTTTTTTAATTGGGAAAGTTATGTAACCTTTCTCCACATTTCTTTTTTTTAAGATTTTATTTATTTATTTGAGAGAGAGAGGACACAGAGGGAGAGTGAGAGGGAGAAGCAGGCTCCCCGCTGAGCAGGGAGCCCGATGCAGGGCTCAATCCCAGGACCCTGGGATCATGACCTGAGCCAAAGGCAGATGCTTAACCGACTGAGCCACCCAGGCACCCCCTTTCTCAACATTTCTGAACCTCTCTAAAGTTATTGTGAGGATCAACACAAATAATGTCATATATGACATCACCTATTTATAAAAAAGGACTCGGATATTAATGTTTGTGTTGTTATTGGGGAAAAGTATGATCATTCCCTATAAGTATAGGGAAGTTCTTTATTTGTAGCAGACATAGGATGTTTTGTATTGTACTAAGCCACAAGAGAAGCAAAATAAGTTCGTTAGTATGGGATTAATTTAAATACAGCACAATCAACTATGAGAACAGCCAGCACTGTTAAACGGGGACAGGGCCAATTTTGCAGAGCACTGAGAACTCTCTGCCTCTAGTAATTATAAACATAATTCAAAAAAACTATCTGCATTTGCATTCTAGTAATACTCATGCTTTGTAAGTTCACGGTGTGTGTCCATAAATATAAAGAGCAGCTTAGTAAAGTGGTTAGCACAGATTTTAAAGCCACCACTGGTATGCTGCTGTTGGCACTGGAGATAATGAACAAATAAATATTCAGGTATTGTAAGCCTATTATTAAACCACTGGTAGCTCGAAAATGACCACGGTAGAAGCATTTACACCCAGGCAATCGGCAAATGCTACAAATCTGGGGTTCCCTCCCTCCATCCCAAAGACCTGATTACCAGTACCCTAGTGATGAACTACTGAGGCAGACCCATATATCTTTAATTGCCAGCTTTAACACTTCATGGTATATAGCCTTTAGCAAGTTATTTTGCTTTCTCTCCTGCAGTTTCCTAATCTCGAAAAAGATATATTTCTTTGTCCTAAGGTTGCTTTGAGGATTAACTGAGTTAACTTATGTAATACATACTCTATAAATGGCAGTTTATATTAATAAGCTAAAATCATGAAAGAGACAACAATGAAGAGAAACTCAGAAACCAAAAGTAAATGAAGAACTTTCAGTGGTTTTTGCTGTATTAACCGGTATCATGAAGCAAGTGATCCTAAATATATAATAGAGGGGCAATCCACAGAACTCGAGGCTTCACTCACCATGAAGAGACTGTCGTGTGCTTTTCCACTCTCTGCAAAAGGTGAGATAAGAGAACCAGTCCTGACAGAGGTGCTTTCTCGGTTAGTTTGTTGCTCTGGGACTGGCTCATATAAGCTGTCCATGGAGCCTTCCTGCAATAAAAGAGATTTATGAGGCAAAAAATAAAATGATATTTCCTGGAAAAGTCTTCCTTTTTAAGATTTATTTATTTATTTTAGAGAGAGAGAGCACACAAGCAGAGGGAGGGGCAGAAGGAGAGAGAGAGGGAGAGAATCTCAAGCAGACTCCCCGCTGAGCGTGAAGCCAGATGCCGGGCTCCATTTCACAACCCTGAGATCACGAGCATATAAGGATAATGCGAAAACACACAGAACATTCACATAGAAGTGTGGAAGGTATATTAAGATGTTACAACATAAGATTAATAGGTATCCTAGAAAAATAAAATGACAGAATTTCCTTGTCAGTTCAAGAAAAGCTACAGACCAATTTTACTTATAGTTTTAAGAAATTCTAAATGAGATGTACACATTTAAATTTAATTAAATTTAGTAGTCTGCATAAAAATACACCATTGTCTGGGGCGCATGGGTGGCTCAGTCATTAAGTGTCTGCCTTCGGCTCAGGTCATGATCCCGGAGTCCTGGGATCGAGCCCCACATTGGGCTCCCTGCTCTGCGGGACCCTGCTTCTCGCTCTCCCACTCCCCCTACTAGTGTTCCCTCTCTCGCTGTGTCTCTCTCTGTCAAATAAATAAATAAAATCTTTAAAAAAAAAAAAAAAATACACCATGGTCAATCAGTATTTAATATGGGAATATAAGGATGTTTCAACATTTAGATGTCTTTTTTAAAATATTAAACAGGAAATTTATTGAAATAATAAAGGTATTTGAAAAATTTATTATTCACCTGCGATAAAATCTTAGCGAGTTGGGAAAAGACAGGACTTCCTTAACCTCAGTAGGATTATTTATCAAAAGCCTCGGGAAGACTCAATTAGGAGTAATACCTGAATGTGAGAAACAGGTTTAGGTGTCTGCTGTTATGGCATTCTTACTTGTCAATGTGACAAGAAGATAGAGAAAAGCTGAGAATGATATAATTACCAAAGAAGAGGAAAACTTACAGATTATCTGTATGGGAAATCTAAGAAAAAAACATAGACTACCAGAATTTTTTTAATTCAGCAAAATTATTTACTTGCAATATCAATATCAGGAAGTCAATAATGCATCTATAAATCAGCAGAAACAAATTAGGAACAAATAATCACAACAGCAACCAAAATTCTTAGATCCTTAGCAATAAATTTAGTAAAAGATGTGCATGAATTTTATAGAGCAAATTATACAATATCTTAAGAGTCCATAAAAGAAAACTTGAATAAATGAAAAGCTACACATGTTTGTGGATGGGAGGACTCAACTCCATAATTAAGTCAATTTCCCCTAAAGATGATGTGAGATTAAGTTCATTTTAACCAAAATCCCATCAAAGATTTTCATATTATTTGAAATTTACCTAGAAGCGCAAAGACTTAAGAAGTCCAAATTTTGAAGAAGGACAAGGAGAGGGAATTCTGTTGAATAAGATGTCTCCCTTAGCATTAGAATTACCCTAATAAAAGAACAGGTATAAGGAAAGGGGTAGAGATAAACCAAAGGGATAGAATAGAGTCCAAATAAAATAGAGGCAGCATTATTACAAATCACTGAAGAAATGGTGCAGGGATAATTGATTTGTAACTTTACTGGGTTACAAAATCATGTTAAACTCAGTAACTATACGATGAGCTCAATAAGAAAATCATCCTGCTTCTAATGAGCAAGTCTTCTAAAAGCCTTATCACAATGTTAAAACTGTAAGAAAAATTCTGGAGTCAGAGTGGCATACATAAAAGGATATCCCTGCCTCCCTTTTGAAAGACCCCATTTTGAGTTTATAGATCCAAGATAACAGCGATCACCTTTAATGGATTATTTATAGGATCCTTGGTTCAGAATGGGTAGTTCATTAAGTTTGCTTTATTATTTCTCTTAAAAACCCCATTTACTAAAAGATTTACAATTTCCCCCTACACTTAAATAAGAGAATGCTTAACTCTTTCTCTGGCTTTCTTTAGTGGTAATCTTTACTTGATGCTTAATATTTAAAACCTTCTCCTTCCTACAGATTTAAAGATCAATATAGAAATATACACCTCTACTTTTTAATTCTGAAATCATTCTTTCCACTAAATCAGTGATTTTTATTCTCTTTATTTTAAATGCCTGTCCCATATGTTCACATTCCTACAGGCACAGACAAAATGTTTTGAATTATGCACAAATTCCTGGCAAAAGCTGTAACCCCACCCCTTTGTCACAGCTCATAACAGCACAGTAGGGTGTCACAACACCCTGGTTGAGAGCCCATACGCTAAACAATTTTATTTATTTACCCCACAGGAAGAAATAAAAAGCACCTAAAATAGTTTTGATTTTTTTCCAAGTACCTTGTGGACATTTTATTATGAAAGCCATTAACTTTGACAAACTTTGGAATGCTTGAACAAAATATTTCAGTGTTCATGATGGTTCCGTCTAATCAAACATGTTTCCGAACGAGAAAATGTTTAAGGACAACTTTAAAACACGGAAAAGAGTTGCAGTCAGACCGAGTCCATGAGGCATGGCGTTGAAGCAATCCTTTTGGAGTACATGCTCCTTTCCCTCTATTGCAGAGAAAGACAGTGGTGCTCATTAGATGGTTAGATGTCTTCAATAGCAGGACTAAAAACGTATGCCACACTATGCTGAGCCATGCTATGTTACAGTAACATTAGCATACTGATTATAGAGCCATTCCGAGTGATTTCGGAACGCCGTCCTCTCTGCTGCTACACTGCCTATTTCCATAGGAAGTATATTCACATAAATCGCATATAGCTCTTTTAGATCGACTAGAAAAGAATGCACAATACCACTTAAATCACCTGAAATGGGATTTCTCTAGTCAGATTTATCTGGCACAAAGCAAAGTTGAGCACCGGCAATTATTTTGTAAATTGGGACTATATAGGCAATCAGAACTCGATGATTCAGCCTGCCACAACTCACAATTGCATTTTATTTTTCAAGATGCTCCAAGATTAAATCCCTTATCTTGGCTTAAAATGCCTTCTGTTTAGGTATTACAACCTATGTCAGCACCATCTCTAGCACTTACGTTAATCTTATTTGCAATTTGGAAAGAAAACAAACATCAAAGTAAACCATTTTATTTCCACAAATGACAGGGATCTCCCATCCATATCTTGAAAAACCAATGAATAGGCATAATGTACTGCTGTAAACACAGATAGAAATGAATAAAATTATTTTTGAAATTCATTTTTAGCATTGGCAGATGGTCACAACTGCAGGTTAGAGTTATAAAGTATTTCCAGATCTATGACTACCTGCTAACTTTCACTGATCCACATCAGGCTAAACCAAAAAAAAAAAAAAGGTAACAATGTAAAAAAGAATTTGAGAAGTGCTTATACCCTTGAATGAGCACATCTGCAGGACTGGAATAATCTATTGTACCTCGCATTTACAGTACTGTGTGACTCAGAAAGCTGCCTCCATGGTAGTTTAACAAAGCCAACATTAAACGGAATTCATTATTCAAACAGTAAAGAGGAAATTTTGATCTCTAGGATATCTCAGAGCAAGGCAAGTAACCTAAATGCAGCATATTTTGCAAAAATTTTTCTCATATTTATAATAAATAAAATAGTTCCTCAAAAATACCGTTTATATTTCTTAGAAATTCAGCATCAAAAAAAAATTTAGCATCAAAATGTTAAATAACTAGTAATTGTTTTAGATAAATGTATATATATATATATCTTTGTTAAATTACTTGCCTCTGAATGAGTTGGCTTAAGTGCTTTAATAAAAACATCCTTTTCTTCTTTCTGATGTGGATTTTTTTTATGAGACCCTAAATGTATTAATTAATCACCACATAGGAAGTTTAGGGTATCCCTAATTCCATTCCTTTTAATTGATACAATAAAATAAAAATGTGGATATCAATGATGCATGTAAAGAAACTCACCAGTGAAAAGCAGAAAAGATTCATTTTGGTAGGCTTCGGTCCCTTGTTGCTGTGCCTGAGAATGTGATCAACCCTTGTAGCTCTCTCTTGGCTTCACAGCTGTTTGGGCAGTTCTCATGGGAGATTATCACAGAGTAAAATCCCTGCCATAATCCAGGGGATTCAGAGACCAGGATCAAATAAGATAGGTCTTTATTGAACAAACAATTTTCTAAACTAATGAGGAAGCCTGAATAATAAAATGAGAGAAGGAGACGTACCATGTTCTGTGTAAACAGATTTCGAAGGTGGCAATAATATTACTAAAATCTGAAGGAAAACTGCAGTGAAAACAATCATAGACCTAGCTAACTAAATTGAAAAGATGAAGCAAACCTTGAACAAAAAGACCACCCTTCAATATAAAAGTAGCACCTTCCCTTCAAAGGTGGTAGGTCAAGGCCGTGTCCCATGTGTGCCTCTCTATCTCCATCACTCTATTACCTTCCATTAATTAAAAAAAAAAGTTGGATCTTTTCTATGACAAGATACTGAAATAAGTACTTTTTATGGTGGTAAAATAGACATAACAAAATTTACCATTGTAACCATTTAAAAATGCACAGTTTTGTGGCATTAAGTACATTCATATTGTCATTAACCATCACCACCATCCATCTCCAGAACTCTTTCGTCTTGGGAAAAGTGAAACTCTGAACATATTAAACACTAACTCCCCATTCCTCCCTCCTCACCAGCCCGTGGCATCCACCATTCTACTTTCTGTCTCTATGAATTTCTCTCTTCCACTAAGTACCTCATGTAAGTAAAATCATACAGTATTTGTCCTTTGGTGACTGGCTTATTTCTCTCAGCATGATGTCTTTGAGGCTCACCCATGTTGTAGTATATGTCAGAATTTCCTTCTTTTTTAAGACTTTTAATATTCATTGCATGTATATACCACATTTTGCTTATTCGTTCATCTGTTGTTGGACACTTGGGCTGCTTCTACCTTTCGGCTTTTGTAAATAATGCTGCGATAAACAAGGCTGTACAAATTTCCAGTGTCTCTTCTTTCAGTTCTTTTGAGTCCATATCCAGAGATGGAATTGCTGGAAAGTTCAATTTTCATCTTGCAAATATGCTTCTTCTTCAGCTGGTCCTGGACTTATTTTTCCTTTAAATAACATTTATTTCTAATACCCTCAGAAAAGGCATCTATAGTTGTCCCTTGTTCTTTAATTAGGAAAGCCTGGAGAATTACATTGGCACCTTCTGCTTTTAAGACTGTTGTGAGTTAGGAATGCTTTGAATTCCAAGTAACAGATTACATATCTGAGGATGCTTCCTTAAGCATATAAGGATTGGTCTGTGCATTGACAACAGCTGGTATTGATGCAAAGGGTCAGTGAGGTCAGTAATAGTAACTTTCTACGGTTCCCCTGCCTTCCCTTCATGTTCTGAAGATGGATGCAGAACCTCAGAGCATGAAGTCCTCACACAGTTGCTTTCAAATGAAAAAAGTACATCATCGGCACCATTGTAAAGCGGTCTTCTGTGTTTGGCTGCCTTCTATTATTCCTCCCAATAGCCACCATAGTACCCCTGTAAGTTTCTCCATTCTGCATGCTTTCCCCAACTTAGTACTTTCGGGGAGTATTATTTACAGTGTATCCTGAGAAGATGTGATATTAAAATTTAATCAAAATCAAAACTGGATGAGACTAGAACTTTGAGTCTCTTTTAGGGACTATAATATTATTTCAAGACCGAATATTTTAAAAAATTGATGATGAGCTTTTCATACATACTCAAAAGTGGAGTTCACTAATCCCTTCATATTCCCATCAACTATATTCAGAAATTATCAAGATATTACAACAGTTGCTAAATCTATCCCATTTTATCCTTATCATTTTTCCTTCCTGCACAAGTATTTGAAACCCCAGACATCATGTCATTTCACTCCTACATGCTTCACTTTGTATCTCTAAAATTTTTTTGACATTTTCTTAGATAATCAGAGTGCCATTGTTACACTTTAAAATTATTCCTTGATAACTTCAAGTACCTCCCCGTGTCATTCCCCCCCACAGAGAGATGGAGTCTATTTCTCCAATTCCTTCAACGTGGGCTGAAGCTGTGACTACACTGATAAATGGAATATGGAAGAGATATCACTGTGCTAGATCTAAGCTTAGCTTTTAGGAGGACTGCCAGCTTCCATTTCCTCCTTTTTGGACCCCAGCTGTCCGATCGTGAGGAAGCCCAAGCAGCACATGAAGAGACCTCCATGAAGGAACATAAAGGGTTCTAGCAACAGCTCCCACTGCTCTGCAAGTTGACGACCAGCACCGGGGTGCTAGCCCTGTGAGTGAGGTCATCCTTGAAATTAAGTCCTCAAGTCCCAGATGAGTCACCCTAGTTATGGCAATGGGGCAGAGAGGCATCCCCAAAAGACCTGACCTGACTGCAAAATTGTGAGAAAATAAATTGTTTTAAGCCACTAAGTGGTCCGCTAGGTGCCAAGATAGCCAAAGCATTTTCCATAATTAAATCCCCCAATAATCTTAAGGAAAAAAAAAAAAAAGGATCTTTGCTTTGCTCCATTTGAATCAAGATCCAAATAAAAAAGGACCACATGTCACTTTTGGGTATCATGTCTCTTAAGTCTTGAACTTCTCTTTCTCTTCCTTTCTTTCTGACTGTCTGTCTTTCTCTCTTCCTTGCCACTAACTTGTTACCACCGGCAGAATCTAAAGATAATACTATAGTATCTAACTTTTTAAATCTTTGTAAAAATTTGTCTCTCTATACTTTTCTTCAACTTGAATATTTCCTGATTCATGTGCCTGGTAGAAGCAATAAAAACAATAAAATATCCTAAGATTCTTTTTGCAAAAGGTCTCCAAGGAATCATACCAGGACACCCACTCCCCAAAAGCCATCACCAATTCAAAGAGGAGATTAGGTCCTGGTAGGCACAGTGAATGCCCCTATTTCCTCCTCCCCTCTCCTTCTCTTCTCATATACTGAAAATTAACTATCTTTTATCTATCTCTTCTGCAGGCAGAATTTCTGTATGTTATAGAGATGACAATTACTTTTCATTCCAACAGGTATTTATCAAGATAGTGTGCAAAGAGCATAAGCTTTGGAGCCAGACAGATCTGCATTTGAATTCAGTAACTTACTATGAAATCGTTCACAAGTCACTTAACTTCTCTGAATGCCAATTTCCACTTCTATAAAAAAGTGATAATAGAATCTGTCCTAAAGTCTTCTTATATGAGTTGATACCCATGTATATAAAGTGAATTCCAGGAAGAATTCAGCAAACTGTTATGAATTAGTTTGGTTGCTCCTTCCAATAAAAGTGCTTACCAAGAGCAGCCACTAAATTTTACTGTCTCACTCAAAAAGAAGGAAGGAAATGTGTCGTGGCCAACGTGCATCAGAGCAAAAGCCACAAGATTTGGATTCTGCACCTAGGCTTAGAACTAAGGAACCCTCTAACAAAGCCTTCAAAACTCAAAGGGCTTTCAGTTCTTCATCTACAAAAGAAAAGAGATAGAATACGTTTTTCTAAACATTTTTCACATAACAGCACACACACAAAAGCAAATGGAAGTTTCTTCAAGGCTCCACCAGTCACTTCAAGTTCCAAGGAGATGATATCTCAACACATCCATAGCCCTTCCTGGCATCTCAGCATGCCACCACACGCCAGCTGGGAAGCTCTGGATCTGGAGGATTCTAAAGTCTCTCTAGCTCATGATACTCAGGATAGATATTTCAGAACAGGAAAAATGGTTAAATTAGAGTGGGGGTGGGGAGAGGAAAAATCCTTCAGGCTGGATTGGTAAATCTATTTATATCCATATCTTGTGGACTACTGCATGAAATTATCCTACAGACAATTCTGAGACCCTACCATATCTCCAGGGGACACTTCCTTAAATGAAACTGAAATAATTATAAATCATACAGTCCTTTCATTGCAAAGAAGTGTCTTAGCTTAATAAATAATCATTTATTATCTCATCTATTTCTGAAATTTCATAAACAAAGCACAAACATAAAGTAATACATTTTGAAGAGGCACAATTAGAATAGTGGAACATGCAAATACCTACAATTTTGGAAGTGATTCATAGAAATTATCTATTTATCTATCATATCTATTAGCTAGTCAACCGAGATAACATTGTTTCCCCATTTTTTTTTTTTTTAAAGATTTTATTTATTTATCTGACAGAGAGAGACACAGTGAGAGAGGGAACACAAGCAGGGGGAGTGGGAGAGGTAGAAGCAGGCTTCCCGCGGAGCAGGGAGCCCAATGCGGGGCTCGATCCCAGGACCCTGGGATCATGACCTGAGCCGAAGGCAGACGCTTAACGACTGAGCCACTCAGGCGCCCCTCCCCATTTTTAAGCATCCAGTATCAATGAAAGAAAGGGAGGAGAGAGTGAGAGAGAGAGAGAGAGAGAGAAGAGGACAATAAGTGTCTTGCCTTTTCAGGGACTGATTTTCAAGGAAAGCTAGGGAAAGCCATGTTTATTAGACAAAGGTTTACAGAAGTGTGTTAATTTTGCAATGCTGAGACTTCAACCTTTATTTGGTGATGGTTTTTAATGTTTCTTACAATCAAAGTAGAATTTGACAAGGAATAAGCTTTTAGGAAGTTCAAAAGATTTGTTTTAGAAAGGAGTGATTTGCGGGGCGCCTGGGTGGCTCAGTTGGTTAAGCGACTGCCTTCGGCTCAGGTCATGATCCTGGAGTCCCGGGATCGAGTCCCGCATCGGGCTCCCTGCTCGACAGGGAGTCTGCTTCTCCCTCTGACCCTCCCCCTCTCATGCTCTCTCTCTCTCTCTCTCTCTCTCATTCTTGCTCTCAAATAAATAAATAAAAAATCTTTAAAAAAAAAAAAAGAAAAAAGAAAGGAGTGATTTGCAGATGTGGAGAAGAGAAACACTTAATAAAGGGTATTCCAGCAGAGGAAGAGTATATACATGATATATCTGTGCCTCAATTTCATCCGTAAAGCATATGGCCTAGAGTTGGATAATCTT